TCTGCCCAAGATAAACAACATACCCAGTGATAGATCGGCGAGTGTTCAAATCTGCTGCCCAATCGGAATCACTATAGGCAGTGACTGTAAGTGAACCCCCAGAAATATATGTTAAGCCACACTGAAGAGTACCTTGGAGAAAGCGAATGATTCGTTTAACCATAGCAAGATGAATATCAGTGGGAGCATTCATATATTGACACACATTATTCACAGCAAACGCAATATCAGGACGGGTAAAGGTGAGATATTGTAAACCACCAACCAAGCTGCGATATAAGGTAGGATCTGATAATAAGACACCTTCAGTGGACAACACTTGATTATGAGGCTTGCAGGGTGTGGAGCAAGGTTTACAGTCATCCATTCCCGCCTTGTGAATCAAATCTTTAGTGTATTTGGCTTGATTAATAAACAGATCACCATTAGATTTATAGGTAATCTGAAGCCCGAGAAAATAAGACAATCGACCCATATCCTTCAAATCAAAAGCAGCATTAAGATTGGTGATCACAGACTGAATCATCTGAGAATTAGACCCTGTAATGATAATGTCATCGACGTACAGGAGCAGAATCACAACATCAGTCCCAACAGTGTGAACAAATAGGCTAGAATCAGACAGAGAGGCTTCAAAACCAATTGCTTGCAGATAGCTAGTAATTTTATCATTCCAAGCTCGGGGAGCTTGCTTTAAGCCATAAAGAGACTTAACCAATTTGCAAACATGCGTAGGAAATTGAGGATGAACAAAGCCTTGAGGTTGCTTCATATAGACTTCTTCCTGCAAGTCTCCATGAAGGAATGCATTCTTCACGTCGAGTTGTCGAAGTTCCCAGTGATGAGTTGCAGCTAATGCTAACACTAAACGCACTGTAGTGTGACGAACAACTGGACTAAAAGTTTCTGTATAATCCAGCCCCTTTTCTTGGTTAAAACCTTGAGCTACCAGCCGAGCTTTATAACGGGATATAGATCCATCACTAGTTCTTTTAATTTTATACACCCATTTGCTTCCAATCACATTCTTCTCACCAGAATTAGGAACAAGGGTCCACGTGCCTTGGGATTGAAGAGCATCAAACTCTTCTTGCATGGCCAACTGCCATTGAGGGATATGCGAGGCTTGTTTAAAACTAGATGGTACAGACACATCCACAATGTCAGCAATAAATGTGAAACCTCCGGAGAAATGAGCATTATTGTCAAGAGTCAAGGAAGTCACTTCTGGAAATATAGCAGTCAAAGCAGAATAATCTTTTCTGGTAATAGCACCTGTTCGCAATCTGGTTTGAATACCTTGGGATAGAGACACATTCTCAGGCAGAGCAGAAGTGGATGAAGGAATAGGAGAAAATTCCACATGGGACTGTTGTGGCTGAAGGACAGGCAACAGAGAAGGACTGGACAGAGTAGCAGGAGAGACAGAGTCCTGTGCATTTTCCAAAGAACCTGAAGAAACAGATCTGATAGGTGGTGAATCGAGAGGATGACCATCATGAACAACCTGTGCCATTGGAATCGACAACTGAACAACAATAGGTTTCATCTGACCATTCGAATGAGAAGAAGGAATCGGTCCAGCAGCTGCAGTGACATCTTTCTGGTAAGGAAACACAGTCTCATCATGATAAACATGGCGAGAAATAAGAATTTTCCCAGTGAACATATTATAACACAAAGTACCTTTATACCCTCGAGGATATCCCAAGAAAACACACTGAGTGGATCTGGATTGCAATTTAGTAGTATTATATGGTCTGAGATATGGATAGACTGCAGAACCAAAAACCTTCAAATGAACTAAGTCAGGTTGCTTGCCAAACAGTTTTCCAAAAGGGGAATCCATATGAAGAGTCTTACTAGGCATCCGATTAATCAGAAATGCAGCATGGGCTACAGCAAATGACCAAAACTTATGTGGTAACTTAGCAACAGATAACAATGTTATTGCTGTCTCAAGCAGATGTCTATGCTTCCTTTCAGCAAGACCATTCTGCTGAGGTGTATATGGACAGGAAATCTGATGTAAAATACCATGTGTGGCCAAAAATTCCTTAAATGCAGTGTTAACAAACTCACCACCTCCATCAGATTGGAAGATCTTAATCCTGGACTGAAATTGATTCTCAACATAAGCACAAAATTTGACAAATGAAGTGAACACCTCTGATTTATTCATTATAGGAAAAATCCATACAAATCGAGTAGCTTCATCTATAAACGACACATAATAGCGAAACCCCTCAACTGAAATAACTGGAGAAGGCCCCCATACATCACTATGAATCTTATGAAAAGGTATATCTACTGTATCAACCCTATCAGAAAATGGAAGTCGACTCATCTTTCCTTCAAGACAATGAGAACAAACTGTACTAATGGGATCAGAAGAACAAATTACATTGGAATTCCTAAGCATAGTGGCTAAGACAGCATTTGACGGATGACCACATCGCTGATGCCACAAAGAGAATTGCACTTTACATCCCAAATAAGCAGAAGAAATTGAACCTTTCTGGAACAGTGTTGGAAAAATATGCACAGGAACTCTGAACAATTCATTCGTGCTACTCTGGCCTTGATGAAGGATGACCCCTGTTGCCTTGTCCTGTACAAAAAATCGAACATCATCGCATATGAACCAACTATTATTGTCTCGGCATAATTGCTTAACAGATAAAAGATTAACATTTAACATTGGCACATGCAAGACATTCTTAAGATGTAAAAGATGAGAGGAAGACGATAGAGTGCCATGACCAATGTTTTGGACATCCAAACCTTCACCATTACCAACGATTATCTTCTCAGTGCCTTCATATGGTGTCGAATGATCAAGAACTGTCAAATCTGGAGTCATGTGATGAGAAGCCCCAGTATCAAGAATCCAAGAAGCTCCATTTGAAGTAGCTGCAGAAGCATGAGCGTTCATAGCTGGAAAACCAGCAGAAGAGGATGGCACAGATGGAGAGATGAATGGAGAAGAAGGAGGTACATTCATAAACTGAGGAAATGAATTATGGTTCACAAACTGGGATACAGGAGGAACCATACCCATATCAACACCACGAGGAGACATAGAAACCCCTTGATATGCAACATTGCCAGATAAGGAAGGAGATGGCTGAGCACCTTGATAAGCATAATTGCTCCGATGCCTACAATTCAAGGCAATATGACCCCGTTTACCACAGATTTGACATTCAGACACATTCATACCATTATCATTCCTGAAACGACAAGTAACTGCAACATGACCCTTTCTCGAGCAAATCTGACACTCAGGAATAGGCTCAAACCTGTTGAACGTATTTCCGGACCACTGCTGCCAAGAATTGCCAGATCGCGAGCCATTAAATTTCTGCCTATATCCACCATTTCCTCTTGGCCGATAATTGTTACCATTGAATGATCTGCCAGACATATTATTGCCAGAATAGTCACTGGACTGAAATTGATTACCAGGATAACCTGGACCAGATGATGAACTACCAGAATAACCAGAGCCAACACCCGGAGAAAACGGTACAGTAGAAGCACTACCTGATGAATTGGAAGAAACAGGGTACTGATTGGAAGACCCTCCAGTAGAGTCTGTAGAAGCTTGAGCATTAACATACATGGCAGACATACTTTGTACCAACGACTGCATTCTGGTTTCAATAGTCTTTTCTGCACCAATTAATTGAGCCCGAAACTCTTTAAGTGTAATGTTTGAGTCTTGAGCCAAAATAACAGTCCGAATCATATCATAATCAGAAGGTAAACCAGTAAGTGCAGCAATGATGAGATCATTATCTGATACTTTCTCTCCAGCAGCCTGTAATTGATCTTTAATAGTCTTTAATCTCAACAGATATTTATCAATATTATCACCCCCTTTCTGCATGGTATGTAACTCTGCTTTGAGATGATTGACACTAGCTTTAGACACAGACATATATCTATCCTGTAAAGCAGTCCATGCCTCATTAGAAGTCTTGCAGCCTACCACATATTCTATAGCATCATCACTGAGGGTAGCAAGTAACAAACTTAACAACGCCATATCAATCTTAACCCATTCTTTATAAGCTGCATTGATCTCATTGGTAACTCCTAATTCAGAAGTAATAACAAACTTGGGAGGACACACCGAATCTCCAGTAAAATGATCAAAGAAATCATAACCACGAAGAACTGATCCAAATTGGTAGCTCCATTTAATGAAATTATCATCATTCAATTTAATTGTGAGCATACCCAGCAAACTTTCAATTCGCACTTGATTTGCCATAATAGGAGAACAGACAAAAGAAACCAAACAATATCGATGCGAGAGAAAAAGAAATTACCCAGACCAACCCAGATGCAAATTGAGTCGGTGAAGAATCCCAGATGAACAAGAATGACAGATCTGATATCCAATTAACAAAACAATCACTATACACTCTCAGAGAGGCAAAAAATCACAGATATACTTCAACAATGGCAATCGGCCTTGAATCACTTCAATTACTGCAAGAAACTAGAATTCGCAACAAATTTGGCATCGGCCTTTCAACAAATCAACATATAACTCTTCGATTAACTAGAAAATTATGGCATCGGCCTTCAATCAACTCTAATCACTTCACTTCAAACTAAATTGCAAAAGAAAGAACGCTAAAATATCTAGGGTTTTTACCGCACAGAGACCAGGCAAAACCACCTTCTTACCAGTCAAAGCAACAAAAACATTACCAGGACCATTGCGCAAGCAAGAAAAACCGCTCTTGATACCATATTAACATCAGAGACAGATTCCATAGAAATCAAGAAAGATAATGGAAGACAGCTTGAAGAAGAAGCTAAAGAAAACTCTTTATATCTTTCTCTCAATATTTCTGAAAATTACAATCTGTACAAATATCAAAGAGGGAAAAGCTATTTATACTATCTTATTTAGTAAACTACACAGGCACATGTTTCTCACGTGTAGGAGTTATTACTTAGCCTATATACTCATCCAATAATAACCATTATTTATCACAAATGATGCAGAACTTGCACCATGTGAATATTTTGGTTCATGATGATGCTAGGGTTGACGGAGAAAATCAAGATGATCAATACATTCTCGATGGATAACGCTTTACTTTGAAGAAACTGCTCTCTGCTCTGTATGTATGAATGTCTGCAGTGTCGTGGGAATTGTAAAGGTTAGAAATTTGTTTAATGCACTCCGATTTGTACTTTGTTCAATTAGGTATATCGAGCTTGAAATCAAGTCAATAAGGACCATGACTTCTACCTTCCACTCAAAGCTCCTTTTGGCCGGGAGTATCTGACCTAGGTTCGTGTCAGAAGAAGTTAGTTTTGTTCTTGCTGTCCTTTATTCTACAAGTCGAAAGAAATAAGTACTCAGAGAGACCATGCTTACAATGTGAACTTTTTGTAACTCTGGCATTCCACCTTCCTTAGTATGATACTGTGTATGACTTTGCTCGTAATGAGCAATACATGCATGTACCGGTGTGTCTTTTTGCATGTGTGAAAAGAGGAGGATTAGCATTACTGTAGTTGATGTATAAGTGACATCCTTTTTGTTCAAGGGATTCGACCAGCTGATAAAATTATAGAACTAACCTGGACCTTGATCTCCTGCGGAGTCCTGGGTAAGCGGCGTCAGGTTAGTATGGTTGTTTTCCCCACTCTGATTCAGGAGCTTCTTCTTTAGCCCATTATTGTTTTTAATGTATACTGACGTAGTATGAAAAAACACTTTGTTATTCTTTTGATCTTGCATCCTTGCGTGCTTCAAATGTAAAGATGTGGATGGTGCGGTGCGTATTTGCAAATTAATGCCAAAACTAATTTGATGATTTAGTTTGTGTTTGGCTTTCAGAGATTGACATACATACATATATATATATGTATGTATGTATGTATGTATATATATATATATATTGTTCTATCATTCCAAATGGTTTGGGATATCCGAATTGAGCTTTTAGCCCAATATATGTGTCGCCACACGACTAGGTTTCTCCCCTAGATTTAACGCCACTAGTGCTGTCGAATACATCTTTTGTAATTGTATCTTTTCTTGTTACTTATATCCATGTGAGGTACTGTCCTTTGGATCAAAGTAATGTAGTTCTGTTCTTGCTCGGGCGATCAAATTATACTTTGATTTTAAGGTAATCGATAATGAAGCTGAGCAGCTTAAGAGAAGGGATTTCAGTTGTATAGTTCTTTCAAACTGCATCGATGACTTGTGCTTTCGGTAATCCATTTGTCTGCTCTTATTGCTATGTCGATTGCCTTATGAACTGGCACGGCCCATTGATTCAAGTCTGTTGATTTTACGGGCTATTATAGGTCTCTGCTGTGTTTATTGTTGACTTGTATTAGGATTCCTATAATTGTGGGATTCCTACTACAATTGGTTTCCTAGTTTAGGATGTAATTATTCTTTCCCATATTTATTCTTTCCCATATCTGAATAGGGTTGTATATATACCTTGTTTTGATATGAAATAAAAATATCAATTGAAAAACATTCTTTCTTCTTGGCACCAGAGCCGGGTTAGAAAAACACTGAGCCCTAATAATTTTTTTTTTCTGCCGTGTACCTGATCCATTGCAGTGAGCAACCTTAGGATTGTTGATGCCCGTGCCCTGATCGATTGCAGCGAGCACCAGATAGGGTGTTGCTGCCCTGTTGATTTGTCCAACGTGTTCTAGGTCCCATCACTGCTGCTGTTTTTTCATTCTCTGCCTAGTTTGTGTCAGTCAACACCGAAGCAACATAGAGATGGCTGAAGAAAAGGGGGCTGGTTCACAGATTGTTTCAGCGGCTGCTCCAATTATGGTGCAGTCAGAGAATTCAAGCTTTAATATTGGTATGGTTTTGGATGAAAAGAACTATGATTTATGGGCTCCTCTCATTCAAATTCATATTGCTGGAAGGAAGAAGATGGGATATCTTCGTGGGTTTATCAAGGCACCTAGCGAAGACAATCCTAAATATGATGATTGGTTTTCTGAAGATCAAAAACTTAAGAGTTGGCTTTTGTCTTCAATGAAGCCCGAGATTATGAAACGGTACATTCGGTTGTCTACATCGAAGGAGATTTGGGACTCCTTGAAGGCAGCCTACTTTGATGAGAATGACGAGGCTAGAATTTATTCGTTGAATCAGAAGGCATCCCATTTGCGTCAGAATGACCGACCCTTAGCTATCTATTTTGGGGAGCTCACTGAGATCTTCCAAGAATTGGATCACTTTAATAAAGTATCCATGGAGTGTGAGAATGACATCAAAGTGTTTCAGAAATCCACTGAGAGACAACGGGTCTATGTGTTTCTTGGTGGTCTCGATGATGGGTTTGATCAGGTGCGTGGAGAAGTGCTGCGGAAAGATCCCCCACTTGGCCTGCAGGTTTCTTATGCCTATGTTCGTCGAGAAGCCGATCAAAAGGAAGCAATGAAGATAGTGGTTGACAAGGGGGAGTCTGCTGCCATGGCAGCAAGGGCCCGTGGATCATCTAGTGGGTCGAACCGAGAAGGGGTACAAAACCGGCCTGGATCAACTCGGCTGAGCCAGACAAGCCGGGATCGTCCACAAGGTAAGTGCCCACACTATGGCCTGATGGGACACTCCAAGAGTCGTTGTTTTGAGCTGATTGGATATCTCGAGAATTGGGATAAGACCCGTGATCCTCGGTGCAACAAATCTCGAGCCTCCATTGCCGAAACAAAGAATGATTCGGATCAGATAGCGAACAAGGCATCTACCATGATAGCTGCGGCAGGAAGTGATGGTAAGGCACTCAGTACTTCTACTTCTGTTATGAATAATACATGGATAATTGATTCCGGAGCTACTGAACATATGACTTGTGATTCTAGACAGGTTCCATCACTAAAAACATCCACACAAACCGAGGTCAATGTTGCTAATGGTAATGCCGTCCCTGTTATTGGGGAAGGCGCTGTTTCCCTTTCCGATACCATGAAACTTGACACTGTTCTTGTGGTTCCCTCTCTAAATTATAATTTGTTGTCCGTTGCTCAAATAACCCTTGCCTTACATTGTTTGGTTATTTTTTGGCCCTATTTTTGTGTTTTTAAGGACATCCGGACGCGGAAGACGATTGGTTATGGTATTAAAAGAGGGAAACTTTATTACTTGGAATTGATCACCAGTAGTTCTAGCTTGCTGACTCAAGCTCTCTCCGTCGATGATTCTCAAGGGATTACTAATAAAGTGTCAGATATCTGGATGTGGCACCGGCGCCTTGGGCATGCTTCCTTTGGTTATCTGCATAAGTTATTTCCTAGTTTGTTTGTCAAGAATGATGTTTCTCAGTTTAAGTGTGGTGTTTGTGAAATGGCTAAGAGCCATCGAACCTCTTTTCCTCCCAGTTTAAATAAAAGTACCGTTCCTTTTATGATTGTGCATTCTGATGTATGGGGACCGTCAAAAGTAGCCACTCTTGGTGGTGCTCATTGGTTTGTTACTTTTATTGATGATTGTACCCGCATGACTTGGGTTATTTTGTTACAGTCAAAGAGTGAAGTTAGTTCGGCCTTCCAACGGTTTCATAAAATGATTGATGTACAATACAACAGGAATATCCAGGTTCTTCGTAGTGACAATGAGGGAGAATATGTTAATATGGAACTTCGTTCATTCTTAGAGTTGCATGTTATTGTTCATCAGACCACGTGTCCGTATACTCCTCAACAGAATGGGGTTGCAGAAAGGAAAAATCGACACTTGTTGGAAACGGTTCGTGTTTCCCTACTTGCGGCACATCTGCCGTTCAATTATTGGGGAGAGGCACTTACGTCTGCAACTTATCTTATTAATCGCCTTCCATCTCGGACTCTCAACTTCCAGATGCCATTTCAGGCTCTCACATCTCAGACTAGCAACCCCCCGACTCCCAATATTCCCCCACGGGTCATCGGATGTGTTGCGTTTGTTCACCTCCATCCACCTCAACGGAAGACTAAACTTGAACCTAAAGCTCTTAGTTGTGTTTTTTTGGGGTATGCTACTACCCAGAAAGGGTATCGTTGTTATCATCCTTCGAGTAAAAAGATGTTTATTACTCAGGATGTGAGTTTTCACGAGAATGACATGTTCTTTGGTTCCTCCCCGTCCTCACTTCAGGGAGACTACCACAATGATGAAGTTCTGACTCACGATAATAGGGACGTGTTGAGCTTGGAGTACACGGCTTCTGGAAGAGGGCAACAGCCCACGACACCTGGGGAAGGGCAGCAGCCCGTGCCCGTGACACCTGGAGAAGGGCAGCAACCTGTGTTTTATGGGTTTAGTCCTACCGAGCAGCCTACCGATGAGCAGCCAACAAGTCAGGAAGAGGAGCAGCCCACGGGTCTCACGGGTATTGAGTTGGAAGATGAGATGCAGCCACCCAATTGCAGTGAAACAGCGCAGCAATTACAACATGTGTCACGAGATACTACTTCTCATAACCAATCGTCTTCTACACCAGATGCACCTCCACTTCGTCGCCTTCCAGAGCGTATTAATAGAGGTATTCCCAAACCCACTTATGAGGTAGATCCTGAGTGTAAACACAAGTATTCCATGAGTGAGCCAAACTCTGATTCAAGAGTGAGATACCCATTAAACCATTATGTGTCTACCTGTCAACTGTCAGAATCAAATAAGTCATTTGTATATCAATTATCTACTGTATCTATTCCTTACAGTGTGCAGGAGGCGTTAGCAGATTCCTGCTGGAAAGATGCAATGAACGAGGAATTGAGATCGTTGAAGAAGAATGCTACCTGGGAAATAACTGACTTGCCAGCCGGAAAGAAAACAGTGGGATGCAAATGGGTTTATACAGTAAAATATAAAGCCGACGGAACGGTAGATCGCTTTAAAGCAAGATTGGTGGCAAAGGGGTATACACAGAAATATGGCATTGATTACACTGATACGTTCGCACCAGTGACAAAGATCAATACAGTTCGTGTTCTACTATCCTTAGCAGCAAATCTGGATTGGCCTTTGCAACAGTTCGACGTAAAAAATGCTTTCCTCCATGGAGATCTGACTGAGGAGATTTACATGGACCTTCCACCAGGGTGCAGTGATTCGGACAGACGGAAACAAAAGGTATATAGGCTCAAGAAATCACTGTATGGATTAAAGCAGTCTCATAGAGCCTGGTTTGGAAGATTTACCAAGTCCATAAGGGCATTTGGGTATATACAGAGTAATTGGGATCACACGTTGTTTCTGAAACACCAGAACGGAAAGGTTACGGCTCTAATCGTGTATGTGGATGATATGGTGGTTACTGGTGATGATCCTATTGAGCAAGCAGCCTTAAAAAGTTATTTGTCCACAGAATTTGAAATGAAAGATCTTGGTCCTTTGAAATATTTTCTTGGGATTGAAGTATCAAGATGCAAGTCCGGGATATTTCTATCATAAAGGAAGTATGTTCTTGACCTGTTGGAAGAAACCGGTATGACAGCATTTAAGCCGGTGTCTACTCCGTTGGCCGAAGGAACGAAGTTGGGTATAGATCAGAACCAAGTACCGGTTGATAAAGGGAGGTATCAAAGGTTAGTAGGAAGATTAATGTACTTGGCTCACACTAGGCCCGATCTTGCTCATGCCTTAAGTGTGATTAGTCAATATATGCACAATCCAGGAGAACAACATATGAGTGCAGTTATGAGAATATTGAGTTACTTAAAGGGAAGCCCTGGTAAAGGAATTTTATTTCGGAAAAATGAGCATTTCAGAATTGAGTGCTATACGGATGCTGATTGGGCAGGATCGACGGATGATAGACGCTCAACATCTGGGTATTTCACCTTTGTTGGGGGAAATCTAGTAACGTGGAGAAGCAAGAAGCAGAATGTCGTATCAAGGTCAAGTGCAGAAGCCGAATTTAGAGGCATGGCACTCGGTATTTGTGAACTCTTGTGGCTTAAGTTTCTGTTGCAAGATGTGGGTGTCAAACAAGGTCTGCCTATGAAGTTATTCTGTGACAATAAAGCTGCACAGGATATTGCTCATAATCCTGTGCAACATGATCGGACCAAGCATGTAGAGGTTGATCGGTTCTTTATTAAGGAGAAGCTAGATAATAAAGTAATTGAGGTTCCTCCCATAGGAACGGACGACCAAGTAGCAAATATTCTCACGAAGGCAGTTTCTAGTAACAAGTTCTCCAAATTTCTAGACAAGTTGGGCATGTGCAACATTTATGGACCAACTTGAGGGGGAGTGTTGACTTGTATTAGGATTCCTATAATTGTGGGATTCCTACTACAATTGGTTTCCTAGTTTAGGATGTAATTATTCTTTCCCATATTTATTCTTTCCCATATCTGTATAGGGTTGTATATATACCTTGTTTTGATATGAAATAAAAATATCAATTGAAAAGCATTCTTTCTTCTATATATTGGAACTCTCAGATGTTAGTGAGATTTGTTAGTCATGCATATGCATCTAACTTTTGCCTGCAAATCTATCACATACTACTTTATCTGCCTGTGCAACTCCACCACCGTCGTCTCCATCGCGTCATCTGCTTCTGTCAAGGAAACCGAGATTCATACGCAGTCATAGTCCTAGGCGTTTTAGCTTCTCTATATGTACTTGGATTTCCTTTTGATTAGGTATCCTTCGCTGCATTAATAATGTGCACAACTCATTCAGTGTGTGTGTTTAGATGTTGATGATGAAGTTGTTTGCTCTTTGAATTATGTGCTTCAGCCAGCAACGTTCTCCTACAACAATCCGCTGAAAACAAAAAACAACCAACTCATGGAGCAAACTCAAAATTAGTCACAGCAAGGTGAACTCGTTTGCAGCAAGTCCAGCTTTTAAAATAATTAAAAGCAGTTTTGGCGAAAATGTTTTTGGAACCAATATTTAATAAAAATGTAGTGAATCCTAGAAAAATATTTTATTGATTCGTGCAAGAAGCATATAATTGTCTTCTTGCAAGAAATACTTTAAGTGCTTTTATAATCTAAAAATATTTTCTCTAAAAAGTCATTTTCAAAGCAGTTTCAAACAAGTCTTACATTTACGAAGATATTGATTTTTTAAAACTTCTTTGGTTATGCTTCTAGGTTTTGGGTTTTGCTTATTGGGGGATTGTACAATGTTAATTTTTGGTTGACTACTCTCGGGGTTTAGAATGTGAAAAAAAAATTATGGTTTTAAAATGAAACAAAAAAATTTAGTGATTGGATAAGTATGCAATAACTTGATGATTTAGTTTAAAAAATTTAATCTCTCTAACATTATTTTAAGCCATTTTTGTGTGACTCAACAAAGTCATTAAAAATCAACTTACATATAAAAGGACACAGTAACTTATACATCAATTATTTGCTCATGTGTGTGAGGTAGGTTTTTAATAGTTTTATTTTATATTTTTTGGACTAAAGCGATAGTATTAGTAAGTTAAATGTTAAATTAGCCACCTACGAAGTTCGAACTCAAGCTGCATAACACATTTTCATCACTGTGGCAAATGGCCACTTGCTCATGTGCGTGAGGTAATTTTATTTTGTATTTTTAGGAAGGGGATCCTCTCTGGATCCATTCCACCAAATCCACCAAGATCACAAATTCGAACATTTAAAATTTGATTTAACGGCTACAAACAGAGGCTCACTTTAAAAATTATAATAACTTTAACCTTTGGATCAAATTTTACAGGTTCATATTTGTTGCCTTGCTGGATTTGGTGGAAGAGATTTGAAGAGAATCCCTTTCGTATTTTTATAGTTTTTTTTTTCTTTTTAATTAATTTGTATTCCTTAAAAAAATAAAAAAATTGGGCGGTATTTGAAGAACTTTATAAAAACTTCACCTTTTTAGTCTTATAAAGATATGTATATTATAACACTGTGCAAATACATGTTGCATATATTTTTATGTCATCAGCACAAGATTTTGAGGTTGCAAGCAAAATCCTCTTCACCATAAGGGTGTTGATTTTCAGAATACAGAATTAAGGGTTGAAACAAGAACCAATTGAAGTCGGTTTCTTTTCAATTGCAGCTTGATTCAAGAGAAGGATTGAAATTCATGGGATTTCATGAACTGGGCTGAATCTGTGGAAGATGAAGATAAAGGTGATAACCACGAGACTTCCTAACTCAACAGGTAATCCTTCTTTCATTTTTACCTTTCTGCACAAAAAAGATGGATTTCATTCCGCTGCTGGCAATGCCAATGCTACTAGTACAGATAGATTTAATCAAACCAATTCGGAATCGGACAATTTGATTCAAACGCGATGCAAATCTGGAAAGATTAGGAAAGATGAAGCACTGGGTTACTTCGATTCCATGATCCAAACCAAACCCTTGCCATCTATTTGGACTTTCAATTGTTTGTTTGGGGCACTCTCCAGGATGAAGGAGTACTCTGCTGTGGTTTCTATGTGTAAAACAGTTGATGGGCTGCGCTCAATTCCGACCTGATGTCTGTACAATGAATATTTTTCTGAATTGCTTCCGCCGTCTGAACCGGGTGGACTTGGGTTTCTCTGTTTTAGCAATTACCCTTAAATATGGTCTTCAACCCGATGCTCATTCTATAAATACTTTACTTCACGGGCATTGCAAGTACAGTTCCTGGGCTGAGGCAATGGAGCTGTTCAAGTTAATAGAAGAGAAGGGATACACATGCAATGAAATCACTTATGCTACCATGATGACTATGCAAGGCTCGGAAAACTTCTAAGGCACTCGAGATACTTACGAATATGTTGGAAGATTCAAGCCCAAACAAGACTGCTGCCATCCCATCATAGATAGCCTGTGTAAGGAAAGACAAATAGATTTGTGCTTCATGCAAGTCTGATAACTGGGAGGAAGTTATGAGTTTATTTAAAACCATGAATTGTTATGGACCCTTGCCTAATATTGTTACATATAATTCTGTACTTGATGCTTTATGCAAGGAAGGGAAGACAGCAGAGGCACTGAATCTTGTGGAAGAAATGATCCGTAGAGAGGAAAGGCCTGATGTTGTGGCTTACAACTCCTTAATTAATGGATTGTGCCGGACCAGCCAATGGAGAGAAGCTACAAGGGTGTTTAATAGAATGCTGGATGAAGGTATTGCCACAGATGTTATCACTTACAACAGTTTAATCAATGGCATGTGTCGTACAGCTCAATGAGAAGAAGCCACAAGGTTGTTTGATGATATGGTAGGCCGGGGACTCTCGCCTGATACCGTTACTTTGGTAATACTTTTGGATGCTATCTGCAAAGGTGGGATGACAGAAGAGACTCACAAAATATTTGAGGCAACAATTGAATACGGTATGAAACTCGGCACAATAACTTGCAGTACGCTGGTTAGTGAATATTGTTTGCATAGCAGAAAGGAAAAGGCAAAGATATGAGGTTCCGCCTACATACAATTATGCAATTCCACTATTTCGATTCATTTTTGTAACTCAACTGATAATCAAACAACGTGCGCTCTCAATCAGAAGATATGACAGTTAAGCTTTTTCAATATAAAACTTTTTGGTGATTAAATCAAACATCCAAAATCATACCAATCAATCAATTTATATGGTTCACTAAAAGCATGAATGTTGAAACAGAACTACAAAAAAAAAAAAAAGAACAAAAAAAAAGGTTGATCCGATGGATCATAACTAATATTCATCATTCCAAAAATAGATTAAACAAGAAATTCCACAATATAAATTTGACATTGAAAATCCAAAATAAAATCAAAAATAAAATCAAAATAATAAAAGTACATAGTTATAGTGTAGGTTTATCTCCTAGCCGTAGCTATGGAGATTAGTTTTCCGTAAACGAAAATCACAAAGCGTTAATCTCTAAGAAATTAAAACAAACAGAAGAAAAACAGGAGAGAGCGTTAAAATGGAGCCAAATCCTTGCCTTAAACACAAGAGAGAGATGAGAGGAATCGTATATCAATGGCCTTCTTGGACGCGTTGAAGAATGTGAAGTCCCACGTCGGAAACCTGACCGAAATGAATACAGTTTATATTTCATGGTTTCACTGTTTGCACTTTTTATAAAACCACACACTTGTTGAGTTAGCAGAAGAAATACTTTCAAAACAAGAATGACCATCATAAAAACATGATTAGAGATTTGAAAATGTTGCAACTCACATTCAACTCTTGATCGCCAACATCCTTTTCTTTTTTCTTGGTCCAACTTCGCCTCCTACATCGTCGTCATCTTCACCACCATCCTCGGGCATCCTGAAATTTCCCAAGTGGACACCGCAGCCATTTAAGAGCAACCCTTTTCCGTCGTAGCGGCCAAGTGTAACTCGACACAGATACGGCTTTGATTGGTCACCACCCTCATCCACCTGCGACTTTCTGTGAGCTGGTAATGGAATATATTTTAGCCACACATGAGCCGCATCTATCCCTTTTGTAGCTGCATCTATCCCTTTTGTTACAAACAAAAAACCAGTCGGGTCTGGGTCATTTATATGTACTCCATTGACTTCCATCCATATATTAAACAAGCATTGTCCAGAAAAATTTTGCGTGAATTTGAAAGCAGCACAGAAAACAAGTCCTGTGTTTTTCCATTTGAAAGTCCGAGGGATTTCAATAAAAATTTCACATGAACAACCAGGACAGGTCACACGTACGTCCTTACGGCAACTGAACCAATTTGGAACTTCACTGCCTGGAAATATAATATTTATCGCTTCATTGCACTTCCCCGCCTGTAAGATTCATATAATGAAATGTTAATTAGTCGTTCATAGTGGAAGAGTGGAAAAATGGAAAAGAGAAAGAGAGAAAAGTGCCTGATGCAGTAATACGCTTGCCATCATGGAGACGTCCAAAGCCAACTTTTCGCATAGCCTCTGGCAGCCATACATGATCATCCTACGAATGCGTCTCATGTCTCCGTCTACTAGTATCATCTCCGACAATGTTGGAAATATTTCCAGTAATTTGCAATCACCAACGTCAATCCGTCTTATCTTTGGTGGAAGTTCTGAAATTTCTCGAAGTCTCTTGCAACCACGCAAATCAAGACCCTCCAACCACACAAATTTGCCAATGCATGCAGGAAGACTCTCAATATTGCTATTACATAGAAAAATGTCCGATAAGTTGCATTCATCAAAATGCATAGTCCCTAGATTGGGAATTGCTGCTGACCCAAAGTTGTCAAGTGAAATGTTTGAGTTCGTTGGAAGATCCGGAGGGAGTGTAACAAGCTTTGCGCAGCGTTGGAGACCGAGATATGTAAGACGGGGCAGCGCATAAATGCTTTGCGGCAGATTTGCCAAGATTTCACATCCATTTAACGATAAGCATTCAAGCCCGATGAGATTTTTAATTGATGGAGGCAATTCTTTTATAGCAGTTCCTTCAAGTGCCCAAAAACATAAGCGTTCCATTTTGCCCACAATTTCCGGGAATATCTCAAACTTTTTGCAACCGTTAAGTTCAAAAGTTCTCAGAGATTTCAAGCTTATTGTTGTTGGAAACACTGCAAGGTTATAACAGTTAACAAGACTTAGTTCTTCAAGTTTATTAAGAAATCCAACTGATGGATCAACCTCAGTTAAATTTGTGCAATCCCTTAGACTCAACCGCACTAAGTTTGGAACTCCGGATAAGTCGGAGATTCTTGTCAAGTATTGACAGCCAGATAAATTTATAGAAGTCAGCTTCGTCAGCTTCTGTGAAGAAAAAAAGAGAGGAAAGGATGAAAACATTTCAAAGGGGGCAGAGAAAAAAGAACGACTCTTTAGCCTTAAAACAGAAAGAAAAAAAATCAACGTATATACCTTAAATCCCTCCCCGAATCCTGTGATCTGGCTGTTCCTCATGTTGAGTAGAACAAGATTCTTCGGATTAAAATTGGGCGGCAAAGATTTCAACGGACATTCAGGCCAATCAACAAACCTTAAGTTGTTGGGGAGGTAATCAACGGCTCCAGAAAACCGTCCATTACAGTTTATGAAAATTTTAAGATTTTTCATGTTGGAGAAGGTTGTAGCACTTAAGCATATCTCATTATCCGATTCAAGCAGCTGTACCTTTATGCCTGTAATGTTTTTCGTTCCCTAGTATGAAAATTCAAAGGTATTAACAATGCAAGTTCCTTATAAAACAAAATGCATGTCTCATTAACAAATAAAATGTCGTCGAATGGACTTACTGTATTTTCTGTCAGAACACGATAAACATCGTCATGAAACCACAATCTGCTGCGCTCTCCAGGATCATTGGGTGATTGTTGGCGAACTACTTCTTTACCCATTTCTTCTACCAAATCGTGCATCCATATAAAACCATGATCTATATTTACGAGGGCCTTCTGTATGAGTACGTCAATGCTATGCTTGGGGTTTAGCTCACAACCTTCTAATATTTCGATCACATAGTTACTGCTTCCCCCTTTAAAGAAGCACGCAATGTCAAGAAAAACTTCCTTCACTATTTCATCCAATGCATCATAACTTATCTTGAAAACATCTTGAATTTCTCGGCTTTTGATCAGACCATCTAATATAGCTTGCCACTGATCTCTACTTTCACGGTACAGATGTGAACCTAAAACTCTCAAAACTAATGGAAGGCCTTGAGCATGCCGTATTGCATGGCCTGCAAGTTTCGCATAACCATCCAAAGGTCCATTGCTTTTGAAGGCATTCCAACTGAAGAGCTCAAGAGCTTCATGATAGTTCAATTTCTTCACCTCGTATATTGAAATATTATGATGATGAGCAGTTAACAGTTTCTTATCCCTCGTCGTTATAATAATTCTACTACCAATGCCAAACCAACCATCTGATCCCCCAGCCAAGCAGCGTAACTGTCTCATGTCGTTCACATCATCAAGAACTAAGAGAATCCTTTTACTGCTTAATCTTTCCTTAATTAAAGTGATTCCTTTATCAACATTGGCCACCTTCAACTTGTCTCCCCCTAGAATCTCATAAAGAAGTGTCTTTTGTAATTTGGCCAATCCTTTATCTGTCATTGAACTTTCTCTAACCTTACTGAGAAAGCAACTGCATTCGAAGTTGTGGGAAATTAAATTATAAACAGCTTTGGCAATTGTTGATTTACCAATTCCACCAGTCCCCCATAAACCTACCATACGGACATCATTTCTCCCGACATGTAAGAGGTTATTTATTTCTTGTGCACGAGACTCTATTCCAACTGGGTATTCGGCCACATCCAAATATGTACGATTTATTACTTGCGCGGAAATCCCTTCAACAATGTTATGAATAAGTTTCGATTCATCTTCATGCCTGCGAGTATAAAATCACAAGGAACATCTTATAAATGACATTTTCCCATGTTTTTCCCGTGTTTTTTCCAGTTATATTTACAAACCAATATTTTTTTATAGTTTGAGAAGATTGGACAAAGGATGCTAGAGACACCAATTTGTCCACTAAATTTGACTCCAAATATGCACAAATGGATGGCAAGGCCACAAATGGATGACAAAGGCTACAAATTGACGACATGTTGGGTCTTTTGATTCTTGATCCTATCACAAAAAATTTAAATCTATATATACCAAAAGAGTAGAGAAATTGAAACAAGCGAAAGAAGAAGGAAGTGTTAAAGTAATAATGTATACTTATCCGAGAGAGGCCACCCAGACAAGTTTGCTGCTTCTGAAAGTGCTGCTCTCCATTTGTGGATCTTGTCAACGTTATCCTTATAATTGCACTCAAGGCCAGCAAGTCCATCACCAAAACAACCCTTCTGATCTCGAACATCTGAGGGACTCACCTTGTAAAATACCGGAATCACCGTTTGTTGATTGGATTTCTCGCAGTCAAGGATCTTAACAAGTTCGTCCAAGCACCACATTGAGGAAGCATAGTTTTCGGAGAATACAATGACAGAAATCCTCGACTCTTCAATCGCTTTGAGGAGCGCTGTTGATATTTCTTCTCCTCTTGAAAGACAATTATCCATGAAGGTGTTAATTCCTTTTTGACGCAAAGCTCTACACAAATGGCCTGTGAAATTGCAGCGCGTGTCCTCGCCTCTGAAACTCAAGAATACATGGTATTTCCATGGATTGGTGAAACAGGGAGGAGGAGAAGATGAGGCAGCTGCTGCTGCTGCTTCTTTAGCCATAGAAGCCGACCAGATGATTGTTGCAAACAAATGATTCTTTCGATAGAGATTCAATTAATGTTTGACAGGCTACATGATTCATAAGTATTAACTTGTTCACAAATTAACAGTTGACTTTAGAATGAGGAGTGGTGACAAATGACGATGCTTCTTAGGACTTGAATGCACGAGCCTTAACTGCATGAATAAAACACATTTAACCTGAATAAATTAAACATAATCCTGAATGAAAAGAGGGATAGATGAGTGAACAACATCGGTAAGATAAGCAGCTTGGTTTTTATATACATTTCAAAAGATATTACACACTTCAAAATCATCAATTAATTATCAACTAAAAATAATATTCATTAAACCTACAATAGTATAAATTATTCAACAGAAGTTAAAATTCAGTGTTTATAAAATTTGTTCAATGGATGCAAAGCACCCAACTCTATTAAATTCAGTATTACCTCCACCAAGTTCCTTTTCAGAGATCCACCAGTCCGTCTCAAAAATCCCACTTCAACCACACTATAAAATGCACTACTCCAACTTTTTTCAAAAATGATATTCTAAGAAGTTAAATGCTTGAAGAACCTAAGAAGAAGATAATATATAAATTTATACTAAATTGTAATATTAAATCTACATATACTAAAGTAAAGTTATTGTAAATGCCCAGAAAGAAATCTAAACAAAAAATTGAAACTAAAAACCAAATGGTTATCAAACAGCTCCTAAAGGAATACGCATTTTGGATTTATTAAATGAAGTTTTTCAAAACCTTCAACTAAGTGAAACTAAAATACAAATACAATGCATATGTAGGGATTGTCCAGAGATCACTGAAAACTATATGCTTGACAATAAGGAACGCGGTAAGTTAACAGTGTTAGAAGAAAAATATTATTGGAATTATTGTATACTTTTGCTTTACATGTAAACTGAAAGCTCTCTGACATTTGCCGCAGAGTTCTTTCTCCTTAATCTAAGGAGATTGTTGTTTTGTTCTTAGTAGTTGCCATCATCAACTTTAGTTAATTGAATTAGCTTTAATAATTGTAATAGGAAGTAATGATTATGTACAACATTTGTAGGCTATAACTGCGAAAAAAGTACTAAAAAAGTTTAAACACAAAACCCCCAAAATTATAAAATCAAAATATAATGTACTACCCCTTCTCTCCCGTTTCTCTCTCACCCTCCATTTCTGCAAATCACCTACCTCCCTCTCTCCCTATATACTCCCTACCTCTGTCATAATATCAAAACTCTCAAACCCAATTCAGTGCCTCATCAGAACCCATACAGAATCTAATTAAAGTTTTACCCAAACAAAGAATTCAATTGTAATATTTTAAAATTGAAGAAAACAAATCCCACAGCTTTGGAAAAATTAAAAAAAAAACTCCCAGATGCAGGATTCAAAGAACTTACCACAAAACATTAGCCTTTTTGGCTAAAAATCATCTTCAATCCAAATCAAAAAGCTGAAGAAGCTTAAACTGCTTCCGTTTTTTTAGCGAGCCAAGATTTGAGCGGGACAGAAAAACCTAAAAATATCCCAAACGATCCCAAATTTTGGAACTGATTTAAACCAACCCGCCATGAAATTATAGCCGCTTGAGAAATCTTCTTCCAATTAGAACGGAAGAGGCAGCACAGACTGCGTTTCTTGAAATTAAAAATGATAACAAAATTCAATATCCTTCACTTTGAACTGGAGATTAAGTAAAAAAAAGAAAAAAAATTACCCACAGATCATCTACATGTTCATAATTATGCATGAAAAGTAGAAATTCGAAAAGCAAAAATTAAATCACTTACATGGCAGGTATTCAGCAAGAATAGCATTTCTGCAAAACCCAGAATAATATTAATCAGAGAGTAACACTGAAAATAAAAAAAATTGAAATTTTTATACCTTCAAGTTTCAAGGTTTTTACTCTGGAATCCAGGCAAAACCCAGATCAGATTCTGAATGGGTTTATCAAAAATAATAATTTAATCAGAAATTAACACTGAAAATAAATCAAAAACACCAAAAATTTTGAAATTTTCGTACCTCAAGTTTCTGGGTTTTTAGCGTGAAAACAAGGCTTTTCTGAGACGGGGGGGGTGCAGGCGACGGTCTTGGGGCTCTCATCTCTGATTTCTGAGCATAGATTTGTTCATACGGTGACGATGACGACGGTCTCAGCTGGTATATGCGATGTCAAGGGGTTTGCGGCTGGCAAGACTGAGAATGGCGAGAGAGAATCGGTAAGGGAGTGAGGAAAGGGAGGGATGAGGGATTTGACGGGTACAGATAATTGAAGTCTTTACTGTTTACATGAAGACTTTGTAAATAAGGTTAGTTTATTTTTTGTAAAATAAATATCTGTCCAAAGCATTTTCTGTAATGCATATTTCAATAAAATAAAGGGTTCTTTGGATATAGACCCTTAAAACTCCTATTTTCCAAATAAAAACCCATCTAAATTTAAACATTCAAATAAAATCCAAATTTCAAATAGCCTACCATGTAGACAAATATATGACCAACTATTACAATACAATTACAACTTATGCCATAGAATCCTAATTTGGTCAATAAATGTTATTACTCATCCTAATTATGATGAGCAATTAAATCCATATGGATATTTTACCTTTCTTGTATCATAAATATTAGCAACATATATAAATTAATTTACCAAATTTAAAGAGAAAGACAATCTTGTACGGAAAAAATAATATTGTTTGAATTATGTAATTACCTACATACAAATTAATTTACCTACTTATAAAATATTATACTAATAAACCTGCATTTTGAATCATGTAATTACCTACATACAAATATTATACTAATTTACCTACATTTAAATTAATTTACCTACTTATAAAATATTATACTAATTTACCTACATTTAAATTAATTTACCTACTTATAAATATTATACTAATTTACCTACTTATTAATATTATACTAATTTACCTACATTTAAAGTAATTTACCTATTCCAAAAAAAAAAAAATAGTGATAGTAGATAATGTTCGAATGTTGTGGGTTTGTGCTTGTAGGCAATTAAATAAACTTTTAATCTAATGCACATAAATCATGTAGGTAAATTAGATCATTTTGAAAGTAAACTAGACCCTTTAAATTTTGGTTTGATGTAATAGGTAAATTAGACTATTTTGTAGGTAAGAATTGTGCGGAACATATAGCTTTTGTTTTGTGTATGAGGGATTGGAATATTAGCCGAAGCTGTTTTAGGTTTATTGTTGTGTTGGTAGGTAAATTAACTTATATATGTAATGCACAAAATTATGAAATTAGTATTATTATTTTTCAATTGGCACTTTATAAAAATTTGAAATTTAATACATTGAATATACAATGAATGGCATGAATTATTTTGTAAAATATATAAAATTAATTAAATGGATATAACAAGTAACTGATCCAAAAACCCCATCCAAGTATTAATAGGGGTAGTTTAGGCATTCGAAAAATACACAATTTGAAAAGTCAAACTTAATTAAAGAATTTGTTTAGTTGGAGGTTAGTCAATGGGCTTTATTCAAGAAAACAAAAGGAGATGGGTTTTAGTAGAGGAAAATATAGTTTTAAGGGGTAATATCAAATTTTCAGTAAAATAAACACACAAACGAGGACTGAAAAAAATCATCAGAGATTAGACCCAAAAAAAAAACCATAAAAAATGTGAAGGACGAAATTGCTGAGCAATTTCGTTGTAGAAGCCATGCGCGTTCAGACGAAATAAAAGGTTATAATATATATAAGGAAAACTAATAAAAAAGTTTTGAAAATTTTGAGTTTTAACGATAAGAATAAAATAAAAGGTAAAGTAAATAATATCAGATTTTTTTTTCTTAGTGTAAAAATGTGATTTTTTTGTTAAAGTGAATAGTATCGTGAGCTTTTTGTTAAAACTTATATATATAAAAGCCCAGAAACAACTTTTCTGCTCCAACCGTTCTACCCTAAAATTTTAGCCCAGGATTATTAAAGAATGAACTTAGGCTATTTGTTTTGATAAATTAATTTTTTTTAAAAAAAAATAAATATGTAGACTATCGTAAATTAATTTTATGAACATTTTAATCTAACAAAATTTAAATTCCGATAAATATTGGTTGAAGTCCACTCCGATTTCTGGGCTAAATTTTGGGGGGAATTTGGCCTTGGTTTAGCATTTACCATTTAGCCCAAATTTTCCCCTTGGGTTGGAGTGGGTTTGGGAGGAAATTTTGGAGGGTAATTTGACTTTTAACCCACCATTAAAGTTGGTCCTAGTGAAGAGGATCTCCGTCAGAAAAGTAAAAGATGAGTGAGAGATGGACGGTCACAAAAGTAAAAAAATGGTGCACTTGGGATGAGGGCTCCTTTACGCGTTTTAGGTACAAAGTTACGAATATTTTAAGTTAGTTGACGACAATTTCTTTCAATAAAGTCGACAAAGGGGCACATCGGATGGGGCCCCCCTTCAAGTGCTTTATCTTTACATACAAAATTGCGAATTTTTTTCAGTCAGTTAATGAACAATTTCTTTTGAGAAATTTCCGAACACTTTCTATTGAGTATTTTTTTTTCTTCAAAATCCATGAGAAGATAAAAAACAAATGAATTTCAGACTATAAAATCATGGAGAGATGACGATTGAGAATCCTCATATTTAGGATTATGGTTTACCTTCTATTGCGCTCAATGTCATTAATTTCGATTGTATTGATAATGATTGTACTAGAGGTTTTTATTTTTAACAAATATCTTTTTTTTTTATAAAAAAATTCATGGAGGGTTAAAAATATAGTTCTTCACTATTAGAGATTGTCTAAGATTTGGAATTGTCTTTTCGATCATATATGACAAATCAACCTATTGAGTTATTAATAGGTAACCATTAAAAGTCCAATCCTTATTTAGCTTGATTTTATCATTACACAATCATTACCACTAGCAAGCAATTTAATCTCAACAAGGACTAAGCTACACAAACAATTCACCATAGCATCCAGGTGACGCAATTATTAGTGCATCAATAGTTTAGAACTAGAATTTGTATCCGTGCATTACTGCAGGATTGAAAATTATATGAAAGATTATAGAACTGCAATCTTCATAAATAATATTCGAGTCAAAAAATGATCTCCGAGCACTAATGCAACCAATACAATTTATTCACAACTTATAAATTAAGTTTTTAATCCCGAGGTTTTTAATTGTACAAATATGCATCACAAAACAATACTAAATGCAATAGACTAGAAATTTTTGAGCCCCAAGGCCTTGAGATATAATTCACTGCCCTTTTGCAAAATATGTTTTCATTTTGCAGACAACAAAACGGACGAAAAATGCGTTTGGCAAACTATTTTGTGAAAATAAACTCAGAAAACAAAAAACTCATAAAATAATTTTAGCCAAAGTTCTATAAAATATGAAGTTGATGTTTTCTTTGTTTTTCAAGAATAGATTCCTGATAGGAGCATATTTAGGCAACTTACTTAGCTTGTTTTCGTGCATCTATGTTGTTAATTCATAGTTGTTTTAGTAGTTTAAGCCATTTTCGTGTGTTTTTAGGTTCATATGGCTAAGGAAGCAAAAAGATGCATTTTGGAGCAAAATTGGGCTTGGAATGGATAGCATATGCTTGGAGCCAAAGTGTTGGACGAATTTGGAAGCCTTGTATGCACTTTGGACATAAAACAAAGGGCCTAGCCCAATCAAACAATCCTTTGAGCCATGCAAAACCTCTAGCCCAATCAACAACCCTTAGCCACATGCATTCACATGCATTTCAAGCACCCAAACACATCCTAGCCGTGACTTCACATTGCATTTCCAGCTTTCCTTTGCAGCCACACTTCCACATGCATTCCCACTTTCCTAGTTGTCACCCACATGCATTCACATGCATTTCAAGCACCCAAACACATCCCATGCCGTGCATCTCCACAATCCCATTCATCAACACATGCATTCCCTTCACATTCACCCATATGCACATTTAATCATTCATTTCCCAACTCTTTGCCGTGCATTTTATACCCTTTCTAGCCATTTCACTTCATCATTACAGCACCATTCATTCATTAATCCACATGCACATTCAATCATTCACTCAAGCACCCTTGTGCCTTGTTTCCCCCTTTGTTCCCACCAATCACATGCATCATCATCATTCAACCAAGCCTAACCCGTGCATTCCCCCTAATTCCAGCACCAAAACATGCACTCACATGCATTTTCACCACCATTCACACACACATGCATCCTGAAATCCTTGCCGTGCATTTCATACCCTTTCTAGCCATTTCATTTCATCATTACACCACCATTCACACCCCTTTAATCCACATGCAGCCACATATTCAATTCACATCTTTGTACGTATGAGGAACTAAACCCCCCTTAGCTAGGGGGTGATTCGAAATATATGTTTATGCTTGCAATATGATTTGATTACTTCTAATTACGTTTCATAAGTTGTGAATTCAATTTGTTTAACTGTTGATTGATAACCTATTTATGTATGTTTATTGAGAGTGGACGCTTAATTTTCATGCATGAATTTGACGCTAGAATATAAGTGAGTTTCACGTAATAGTTATGAACTTATATTCACAAGTAGTGGAGGTTGCTTATAAACAATCGCGTTAAACATATTCTTGGCATAAGTTTCATGCAATCATAGTAACGAATGCCTCGTCAACACTTATAGTTTTCATGTTGCTTAATGATTCTTGCTTGTATCTCTATTATGCAATTCATGTAGGGAACTTGTGAGGAATGCTTTGGGTTGTCGTATGCAATCATCCAATTCATTAACTTAAGGAAAACTTGACGGTTAATTTAAGCGGACCTAATTAACCTGGGGCGTTGAGAATTCATGGTTTAGTGAAAAGCCATTAGAAAGCGTTTTGTATGCAAGTATAACATGTGTGGAGATGAACCCCTTAGCTAACTTCCCATCCATTCATTTCCGTCAAATTCGTATTTACAATTTGTTTTCTTTACATTCTATCCATTTTAGTTTAAATTCGTCCAAACCTCAATCCCCCCCATGTTTGTTTAGTCTTAGTCTTAATCTATCTTATTTTGAGTTTTGCATTCTTTGAGTCTAGTATAGTGTTTTAAACTTGTTTTTACGTTTTTGAAGTCAAATCCAAGTGATTAACAATCCCTCCTAATCCCCGGTCCAGAACGATCCCTACTTATACTTATACTACAATTGTCACAAGAGGGTTTAATTTGTGTGCGTATAAATTCTCGCATCAAATTTTGGCGCCGTTGCCGGGGATTAGCAACTTTGCTAATCTCTTGGATTGTTTTATTTTCGTTTGTGTGTATATA